TGTGTGTGTGTGTGTGTGTGTGTGTGTGTGTGTGTGTGTGTGTGTGTGTGTGTGTGTGTGTGTGTGTGTAAAATAGAGAATGAGAGAAACCAATAGACTGAAACATAACAAAAGTTCACACACCAGCTGGGTCCAACACTAAACATACTGCAGGACTTTTTCTAATCAGATGGCAGCTAAGCATCGTCTCAAAACCCTGTATACCCAAACAATATCGTCCTTTTCTCTATTACAACCCAGAACAGAATAAATAAATACAATTTTGATTCATTGAATAGACTTTAAGTCATATTAAAGAAAAGGAAATGATTCCCTTTCAGACTCACATTGTCATATTTAGGTCAAATTTGCAGTGTGACGGGCTCAACAATGAGATTCAAGAGCTATAGAGCAAGGATTGAAAACTGAATAAAACCAGGCTCAGTTTGTTGTAAAATCCTGGCAAGCCTCTTCTTATTACTCTAAGCCACCACTTAGGACATTGGCTGCCTGCCAGCAACGAGCTATAGTAATTATGGGCTCTCATTTAAGAAAATTTCAGTAAGATGGATGAAAGCTATCAAGTGGGTTGAGAATAATATGAGCTCAAGTTTTGCGACTAACAAGATAACAGATTCTCCTCTGTCTTGGTCAAGGTTGAAAGAAATTAGTGGAAAACTGTTCGGGGATCAATACTATAATGGAGGCAGCAGTAAGAAATGCTTGCAACCTGTTTTCACTTGTCTTTGTTTCTTTCTAAGACTAATAAGATTAGCTCACAATGACCACTGAGATGGTACTGTCTTTTGTTTTGCTGCTTTCTTTAAATTGGCACAAGGTACATGTCAAATGTTACATTTTGTTTAGACTACACTAAAGAGGCATGTCAAGCTTATACTGTCATGTCAAAGAGAAAATATGCTAGTGTGTGAGAAACAACAAATATGACATCACAATCTATAACAGTAAGCACTATGGATGCTGGTGTGTTTCATGAAAACAAAAATCTGATATTCTGACAGGTATTTGATTAGGTGGCAATCATGCTATGCTTCTGAAATGTCAGCGTAGTGCTCAAACATGCTAATGGGCTCTACATTAGTCCCTTTCTGGTAGAAAAGTAAAGCCCCAGGTGCACCAAAAACCTAATCTGCACCACATCTAAAGATCGTGCGGTGTCCCTCAGCTGTGGCACGTCTGTAATGCTCTTCAGTCTAAGTCAACACTGATTACTCGTGACAGCAGTGACTACCACACTATGTCTTCCATCAATAACAACCCTCTTCCTTCATCCGGATTTCAGCTCAATAAATTCAC